AACCTACCTAAACGGAAGGGAATGAGATGGATACAACATACTCTTGTATATGACAGCAGAAACTTTTTCTCAACCTGAACATGCTTGCAATAATAATAAATGATTCTGTTGCTTTGACAAAGCCCACATGGCATTTTTCTGGCTCTTAGCAGCAGTTCCAAGTTGCCACGGCCCACAGGGAAAAGGGAATGGGGACATGGCACTGCAATGAGGTTCGGGACACAGTTGAGGTGAAGGAAGCAATGCCAACTTTATTGAGGGTAACAGCAACTTAAATAGGTAGGTTCAGGGGGTGGACTCAGGCTGGGGGAGGAGCAAGAGACTGACAACCCAGGGAAACACTTGATAGGACAACAGGGTACAAGTGGGAGGAGTTTTGGTGTCTCTGGGGGAATGGGCCAATAGGAGCTACCTCTGCACTGCAGCAGACCACAACCAATCACAGGCAGAGGAGCGGGAAAACAGGGGAGAACAAGGAGATAAACAAGTTTAGGCAGGAAAATGTGGGGAAGAAGGGGAGACAGAATGGAGGACATAAATTTTTAACAATAAACTGGGGTACATGGAACTTCATAACAACATAACAATGAACTGGGGAAAACTGGGGTAAAACTGTCTGTCCAGTGAATGTCTAATCCGGTGCAGGAATGTCCATTTCAGTAATACAGTGTCCTTTCTGGTATAAAAGTGTCCATTCAGGGATCATAGATCTTTCTCCATGCTTGATATTTTTCCCATTCTGTCTCCTCTCCTCCAACACCAAGTTTCATGGATTTGAATGGGTTCCATTATTATTGTTTAGGTCTTAATGAATCATGACAAAATATTCACTGCCTTTTGAAATTTTATTTTATTTTTTTAAGTTTTTTTGAAATGATGCACCTGTGTGGGTAGCTAAAGGTCTCCTGCAAAAAAGGTGCATAAAAAAAACAGTCAAGAGAATGAAAGCATCAATAAAATTGTCTTTATAGGTACTTCCAAAGTACGTTTTCTGCTGATCTGCCTTTTATTTCTTCTTTAAATATTAATTGTTGATTTGCTAGTTTAAAAACACATCCTGGAGCTTCCCTAGGGACATAGATACATTTTTTCTTATTATTTTTCTCCTCCTCCTCCTCTCCATCTCTCTCCTTCACTTCCATTTTCTTATCTTGAGTCTTCCCCCACAACAAGCATGGTTGATGAGGTTTGATGAGGCACATTTGTGAGTGATGCTAGTGTTGTTCAGCAGTGAAATCAGTGATAGATATTATAAGTTTGATGGAAGATGTGTTCATACATAGTGTGCCATTTCATTGCAAAAGCTAGTGGAGAAAGTATTTTCTAAATATTGTAGGACCCAAGAGGTAAAGGGCAAGAAATAGAACAGAGCTCCTTATACTGCTTGGTTCTTTGACTAATACTTCTCTCAGTCCCAGCCTACATAAAAACAACACAAAAAACTAAACCTTCTCAAGACTTGTGTTTAAGAGGAGTGCAATGAATGCCTCCTTTGTGAGCCATGTTGCCCTTCCAGCAAGTGAATCTTGGCTGTAGGTTTCTGGTGTATGACCTTCATACAATCATAGATACACAGAATGGTTTGGCTTGGAAGTGACCTCAAAAATCATCTAGTTTCCATCCCTGGCTATGGGCAGGAACACCTTCCTCTAGACCAGGTTGCTGCAAGGCCCATCCAACCCGGCTTCGAAGACTTTCAGGGGCATCCACAACTTCTCTGGACAACCTGTTCCAATGCCTCACCACCCTCATAGTAAAGAATTTCTTCCCAGTAACTAGCCAAAGCCTACTCTTTCAATTTAAAGCCATTACCCCTTGTTCTATCTCTACAAGCCTTTGTCAAAAGTTCATCTCTAGTTTTCTTGTAGGCCTCCTTTAGGCACTGGAAGGCTGCTATAGAGAAGGCTGCAGAGCTTTCTCTTCTCCCAACTCTGTCATCCTTTCTTCATAGGAGAGTTGCTTCAGCCCTTTGATCATTTTCATGGACTCCTCTGGACTTGCTCCAACAGGTCAATGTCCTTCCTGTGCTGGGGACCCCAGACCTGCTGGCAGCATATCAGGTGGGGTCTCACCAGAGTGGATCAGAGAAGGGAAGAATCGCCTCCCTTGACCTGCTGGCCATGCTGCTTTTGATGCAGCCGAGGGTGAAGATACCTTTCTGGGCTGCAAGAGCACATTACTGGGTCATATCAAGTTTTTCATCCAGCAGAACCCCCAAATCCTTCTCCTCAGGGCTGTTTTTGATGCATTCACCACCCAGTCTATACTGATACCAGGTGCAGCACCTTGCACTTGGATGTCATGTGGGACAGTGTCAAATGCTTTGCACAATTCTGGATGGCTGACATCAGTCACTCTTCCCTCGTCCATGACTGTAACCCTGTAATAGAGGATCACCAAATTTGCAAGGCATGATTTGCCCTTAGCAAAGCCTTCTTGGCTGTCACCAATCACTTCACAATTTTCAATGTGTCTTGACATAGTTTCCAAGAGGATCTGCTCCATGATCTTGCAAGGCACTGAGCAAGACTGACTAGACTGCAGTTCTAGAGGTTTCCTTTAGTGACTGTTTAAAAATGGATGTTAAATCTCCCCTTTCCTTTTTTTTTTCCAGTGGGAACTTCACAGAGATGCCATGACTTCTCAAGTATGATAGATAGTGCCTTAGCCACTTCCTCAGCCAGTTCCTACAGGACCTGAGGATTAATCTTTTCAGGTTCCATTGACTTGTGTACCTTCTGGTTCCTTAAATGGTCTTGAACCTGATTCTCTCTTATAGTAAGCAGTTTTACTTTTTTCCAGTCCCTGCCTTTGACCTCTGCAACTGAGACAGTGTGGCTGGAGCACTTCCTTGTGAAGACCAAGGCAAAAAGTCCTTGGGCATCTCAGCCTTCTCCACATCCTGGGAAAACTTTCACAGAAATGAGAGCCAGAGTTGGGAAAATAATGGAAAGAGTTAGTCAGAATTCTTTGGTTAAAAGAAGGTAACTCTTTCAATCTGGAAATCTTAGATTAATTACTGGATTTGTCTAGATCCTAATGATTGTAAGAGGGGAGCAAAGACAACCTTGTTGTGAACTTGTTACTGAAAATGCCTTTACAGGCTGTGCAAAAATTGTTTCTTCATCTTGGTGGATCCCAAGACACAGCTATAAGTCTTTTGATTTAAATTTATGGAAACAGTTTAAAATTGAGTCAGCTTTATACTTTCTCAATCCAAGGGTAATCTTCCAAAATGTTCTATGATTTTCAAGATAAAAATGTAGTTCTGTCCTAAATTCAGCTGTTTCCTTTTAAAGCAAAGTAATCTCTTCACTGCTACAGAGTTCAGACTCCTTCCTCTGACTTTTATTGTGTCTATCCTTTGGAAGCCAAACAGATTTCTCTAATTAGCAAAGTTCCCTCATATGGTGCTTGGGCTTTGCGTGAATGTGTTTTGTATGCTGTTGTAGCTGGGAGCTGAATTGGAATTTTTATGATCCGAAGGAAACAGCTTTGCTTGGTGAGGCAAACGAAGATTATCCTATGCCAGTCGGAATTAAGCAAACATCTCTGGAGCTGAAGCTGCTCTTTCTTTAATTTAAGCCTCTGGTCCCCACATTACTTTAAGCTAAATAAACTGAAACTTATGATGAGCACAGTCACAGCCTTGTGGATATTACAGGAAAGAATATTACTGAACTGCCCCAACTAACACTGCAGCTCGTCACTTGTAACCAAAAAGCTTCATATGCTTCTAAAATGACCATATCTTTCTGAAAATGCAGATGTAGTTTCTGACTCTTAAAAGTATTTCCTGTCAAGCTGCTTCTCTGTGCTTCTGAATGCAATTCAGTTGTGGTTAAAACGAAGCCTTGCGGCTGTAACTTCATTTTTGTGAAGATGTATTCTTTTACCACTTGGTTAGGGGAAGTACACATGCCAAATTCTACTCTAGAAAAGGCTAGATCTATTTAAATATAATACATACACCTCTAGAATAACAAAATATGGATTTTTCTACAACTGTTTTCATTGCTGTGTGGGATCTGCCGTTTCTACAACTGGACCACAGATAGAACTCTCTTGCAGTTTGTATCCTTCCTGTGTTTTTGGTTTGCTATGATTTTCATGAATGCTCATTTTCATTCATTTTATGATTTTGGCATTTGTTCTCTACATGGAAATTTCTTTTGTATTCAAGACAGAACCCTTTTGAGCAGAACGGTAATTGTGGCTCTTTGTCCATAGAGGAGTTATGTGGACACTAGAAAGGAGAGAGCTCCTTATCAAACACTGGTTCCCTCTTTCTCAGGTGCCTATGCAGCGTCTTTTGAAAGACAGAAATGATAACATCTTTATGGAAGAAAGATTACAAATCGGTCATTTTGTCATAATCCTTTTTGATGAGCTTCTGTAGTAGTTAGGACTAAATCATGTGCACACTACAGACTTATTTCTGAAACCTTTTCTTTGGGAATCATGCAATTATGTCTGGATCCAGCCCATAGTCACAAAGAAAAGCTTGAAAATGCATTAGGAGTGCTACTGATGTGGAATTTCCTAAACCCAGAGGGAATGTTAGACAACATAGCTAAGAACACGCAGCAGTCAGTGGAGCAGTTCCAGTGGAAATGTGCTTCTAAACACGTTATTTTTGGAAATCACAAACAATACTATAACAGAAGCTTTTTTTATATTGAAAGGGGAAAAATCTGCAGTAGGTTTTACTCATGAAAAAAAAACCAAACCAACAAAAACCCAAAAACCTGTTAATAAATAAAGATAAGACAACTGCCCACACACATTTCTTCCTGTGACAGAGAAATGACTGCAGCAGGAGTATCTCTGCTCTTCTGAAGGCAGCAGCCACTCTGTGCCACTACATTTGGAGAAGGAAGAGAGGCCCTTGCTCTTGGGCCCCGTAGACCAATGCTTTCTCTGGTGTGGTGGCCAAGAAAAGTTGCACCATCCTTCTGTGAATACTGCAGATGGTGTCATGGCATTTGCGAGTGTACAAGGAGAAGGCAGGACACACAGCACAAGCTGAGGGAGAGAAGTCCTTGCTGAATTCTTTTCACAGGTAAGTTTTTAGGACTTTTTCCAGCCGTTATTGTCAGATTTAACAGGCCTAAGTTAAAGATAAGAAAAGCAGTGAGGGAAAGGAAAAAGTATTTTAGCATTCTGCTGTCCGTACAACATTAGTGGATAACTAAAAAAAAGAAGGAACCTGATCTGTTGTCCATTATATATGAGAAGGGCTCAAAATGTATCAATAGCTAGATAGAACTGAAATTGTTCTTCAGACGCACAGAGATTTCTGCAGGAGTCTGACTGAATTTACTTAATTATTAGGGAGGAAATGGTACCAGACATAAGCAATCTTTACAAAAAGGATTTCAAAGAGTTCTTATAAGGCAATCCACATTTTTTTCTTTTCTAAAGAAATTATCAGGAAAGCTTTATGAAGAAACATGGCTTAAGACTTAAATATTATTTACATGCACAGTTTTTTGATTGCTGCTTCTGCTAAAAGTAGTAGTACAGTAGTATGAGCTTCCATTTGTTGTAACAGAATTGACTGAGAAAGACAATTATTTTATAAATAAGAACAATTTGTCATTGAAGACATTTCCATTTGCATGCAGTATTTAATAAGTCTAGGATGGATGTAGTAGAATTTCCAATCAAAAATATTTTTCCTGTACATAAAAAATTGGTTAATGTCAGTATAACTTTCTTAAATGCATTCTACAAACAGCCTGGTAGCACATACCATGAAGGGTATATGCTATATGGTACTTTGAGCAAGAAATATTTAAGGTGCTAATGATTAATTTAGATGGGGAAGATCAAGAGTTGCTTGATGTCTGATGATCTGTGAAATTACCGTGGTATTACTCTGCTCTCCGTTGCTGGCAAAATCCTGGCAAGAATACTCTTGAACAGACTAATACCCGCTATAGAAGAAGGAATTCTACCTGAAAGCCAATGTGGTTTCAGAGCCAACAGGAGTACCACAGACATGGTATTTGTTCTCAGACAACTGCAAGAGAAGTGTAGGGAACAGAACAAAGGTCTCTATGTAACCTTTGTTGATCTCACCAAGGCTTTTGATACTGTGAGCAGAAAAGGTCTCTGGCAGATTTTGGAACATTTAGGATGTTCCCCCAAGTTCCTCAAAATGATCATCTCACTCCATGAGGATCAGCACGTCCAAGTCAGATATGGCAATGCACTTTCTGAGCCCTTTCTAATAACCAATGGTGTGAAACAAGGCTGAGTTCTTGCACCAACCCCATTCAAAATCTTTTTCAGCATGATGCTCCAAAGGGCCACGGCAGACCTTGATGATCAGGACGGTATCTACATTTGATACTGTATTGATGGAAGCCTATTCAACCTAAGGCGATTGAAGGCCCACACTAAGACCTTAAACCATCTTGTCCGGGAGCTGCTCTATGCTGATGACACTGCCCTTGTTGCCCACACAGAAGCAGTTCTGCAGCGTTTAACATCCTGCTTTGCAGATGCTGCTGAGGTCTTTGGGCTGGGAGTCAGCTTAAAGAAGACAGAAGTTCTCCATCAACCTGCACTTCAGGAAGTTTTCCATCATCCCCATATCACCATTGGCCAATCAGAGCTTAAATCAGTCCAGCAGTTTAATTACCTAGGTAGCCTCATCTCCTCGGATGGTAAGATTGACGGAGAGATAGACAACAGGTTAGCAAAGGCACATAGTGCTTTTGGAAAACTCCATAAAAGAGTATGGCGTAATAAACACTTGAAGAAAAGTACAAAGATCAGTGTTTACAGAGCCATAGTGTTGTCTACTCTCTTATATGGATCTGAATCATGGGCCATCTACCACCACCACCTGCGACTCCTAGAACGCTTCCATCAACGCTGTCTCCGTACAATCCTAAACATCCACTGGTCAGATTATGTGACCAATACATCTGTTCTAGAACAAGCAGCAATCACAAGTATTGAGGCCATGTTGCTGAGAACACAGCTGAGTTGGGCAGGGCACGTCTCCAGGATGAAGGAGCACTTCCTCCCCAGGATCCTGCTTTATGGTGAACTTGCCACCGGCTGTCGCAAGAGAGGAGCCCCAAAGAAAAGATACAAGGACTCCCTGAAACAACATCTCAGCCTTGGCCATATTGTTCAACATAACTGGTCTACTCTGGCCTCCAATTGGGAGGTCTGGAGACACACCATCTATAATGCTGCTGTTTCCTTTGAGAAAGCATGCAGGATCACTCTCGAGGAGAAAAGACAACTCAGAAAGAATCATGTTTTGCAGAATATACCACCTAGGGAGTCTTTCTGCTGCGCCTTTTGCAATTGGACATGTCTATCTCATATGGGCTTTTAGCCACCAGCGCGCTTGTAACAAATGTGGATAGAGCCTTCCTTAATCTTCGTTCACGAAGCCTAGCCATGATTATGATGATGGAATCTCATTTAATGATCCATTTTGAAGAAAAATACAGAAGATGTATAAACAGTGGCCAGAACAATAGAAATTGGACTAAATCAGCCTTGATTAGCCTTGGTAGAAGCTGGGTAAGTATATCTCCATATAAATGTATTTATACACAGTACATATACCTATGCTCACACGTAAATATGTACATAGATATATATACCACCATGCAGTATTTTAAGTATTTATGCCTACCTTATTCATGTCTAAGTCTTGGACTACACAGTTGGTACTGAAAAGAGTCTGAAAGTGTTCAGACCATCGATTCAGAATGGAGGTTTTTTCTGTAAGAAGCGTTTGCCCATCGCCTCCCCAGGATCCTGCTTTATGGTGAACTTGCCACCAGCTGCTGCATGAGAGGAGCCCTGAAGAAAAGATACAAGGACTCCCTAAATCAACATCTCTGCCTTGACCATATTGATCACCATAACTGGTCTACTCTGGCCTCCAATCAAGAGGCCTGGAGACACATCATCTATAATGCTGCTGATGCTTTTGAGAAAGCACGCAAGATCACTCTCGAGGAGAAAAGGTAACGCAGAAAGAATCGTGCCTTGCAGAATTTACCACCTAAGGAGTCTTTCTGCTGTGCCTTCTGCAACCGGACGTGCCTGTCTCGTATTGGCCTTTTCAGCCACCAACGCGCTTGTAACAAACGTGGGTAGAGACCTTCCCAAATCTTCGTTCGTGAAGCCCAGCCATGGTGGTGATGATTCATTTCTAATGAAGAATAAGATAATTATGAAATTTTTCAGTTAAGTAATATATAATGCACCACTTTATATTAATATTTAAAGGCTCTGTCATGATGGCTATTGCAAAAGGTATTAATAATGATTTCTTACTTACAAAAAAAGTTTGATATAGGCTCTTCACTATTGCTGGATATGATGAATTCACTTAACTCTAGCAAAGTTATGCTATGTATTGCTGCCACGGCCCGAGGGAGAAGGGAATAGGAATGTAACTGCACAGAGGGTTCTGACACGGTAGAAGGTCAGGGTGCAATGGCCACTTTATTGAAGGAGAACAAGGATTTATATAGGGTTTGGGTAAGGGGAGGTCTGATAACTGGGGTGGAGCATGGGATTGACATCTCAGGGTATCACAGGATAGGGGAATGAGGAAAAGTGGGAGGAATTCGGGAGGAGTTAAGCAACAGGGTGGTAAACAACTTTTGGCGGGAAAATGTGTGGGCAAGTACAGACATACCCTGTTCAGTACAAACCAGGGGGATTAACATAGGAATATACATGTGGGTACATAGAATACGGCATAAACTAGGGAATAACATGAAAGTCCATAAATAGTTGACTTCTTTAGGCTCCGTATAAGTCTCTCCAGGCTTTAAATCTCTCCCAATCGCTGTGATATTCCTCCACACATTGCTATTTTGTATTAATAACATTGCAATGTGCCATCAAAATACAGTTCACACAGGTAACACAAAACTTCTAAGTGCAAGTGCAAATTTGCACATAACTCTTCTATAAACACTTAAGCCTAAGTCATGCAGGGAGATATCACGTAAATATACAACTGAACACAGAGCACTGCTGTTTCAGTTTTGGTATTTACTTGGTATATTATCTTCAAAACAAAAAGGTTCAGGAAAAAAGTTCAATATGTGCTAATCAAATTAGATGGATAAATATCCACTAACAATCAATTTGAAATTTTATTAAAGGTAAACTCTTCAATTTTAAGAAGGTGGCCATTTTGAAACTTCTTTGCAAAAGTTTTTCAGATTTTCAGCAGCGTTCTTAATATTCATTAAGGCCCCATACTTTATGAGGAACTACACCAGCATTTTTAAAAAGGCTATTTAGTGAAGTTTGAAGATGGAAGGCACATTTATTACTTTAGACAACACGACAAGAAAAATTAGTCTTCTATGTTCCTCTAAGTAGTACTGTCAGGAGAACTAGAAATAAAAGTTTAACTACTTTTATATGAATTTGACTAACAAATGTGATGATCCTATTTAGAGTTTACAACCTTAATCATTACTACTTTGTAGCAATTTAACTTTTGGGCAAATATACTTTTGAGATTATATATATAGGTTTTAGCCTTAATTTGCTTGTATTTCATGGTTGTTGGAGAATTTACTCAGTTAGGATGTCATTGTTCCAAGTACCATATGAATATATATAATCAGGGGCTGAAAAGACTTATAATCTTAATAGTCAGAAAAGGTGAAACAGACACACAAGCGATGCAATCCAACTGATGCTAATGATGTGATACACTTTTTTTTTACCACAGGGAATTCAGATGGCAAAACACACTGTGGTTGAACAGAGCAGATTCACACTTTGGAAAGTTGAAAGACGGCAAGGGAAAGCCACATTCAGTGGAAGAGAAAACTTCAAAGGATGATGAGCAAGTGTTCAGCTCTACTCAGGGTGTAAACCATCACTCACCACTGGGGATAATAAAGAACATTGCTGAGTGTGAGGATATCACTGGACTTTGGGTTGTCTAGAGGTAACTGGAAAAATTTGCAGCAGCTATCTAGAGTGTTAATATTCTGTTTGGAAGAGTTTTAACTCTGAGTCTCCAAAGCCCACAAGGGGGCTTGTTCATGGTAGGTGCCTGGCCATGCAGCTTCATCTGCTGGGCGTGCTGCATTTGTCTGTTTGCACTTTTTTCTCTTCAAGGTTAGTTCTATACATCTCTGGGGAATACTACAGATTTGATTTGTTTGTTTGTTTGTTTGTTTGTTTGTTTTTTAAGGAGACATGATCCATATTTTTTAAAGTATCCTAAAATGGAAGAAAAACTTCTTTTAATCTGAATGTCTAAAAGTGTGTGTGGGGGATTGGTCTTCGTAATACATGTAATAAATTTTCATTAATTCAATGTAAGGAAAACATTGACACTTATCTGCAATAGATAATGTCTATTACTCTCTGTTGACAACTGACAATACTGATGCAAGGTTCTTCTGCTACAGGGAACACTGAAAGCTGAAAACGATATAGCAATCCTGAATGATGTTGACATCTTGATGACTTCCTCCATCTTGCTTTTTGAAGATAGAGGTAATATAATAATTTAATTTCTTGAAGAGCCAAAAATATTCAGTTAAACATAATTTGCAACTACAACTCTATTTCAATAGGTCTGTTAAACATTTTGAAATTTCATTTGAGTAAATAAATTTTTCTAAGCACTGTTAATATTATTTATTCTGATTTTATTGGACAGAACATAAATAAGTGTTGTATTCATTTTTTAGTCAAGTTACAAATGCACACTACTGGTATTACTCCCTTAGAATATGCTATGAGGATTTCCAAACTTGCACATCGGCTTATCTCATATTCCAGAGAAAAAGGAGATGTCAACATCCTGTAGCAAGGGCTAGCCAACTGAAACAACAACAACAACAGCATAATTAGATATGCTATGTTTTAAAGAGTAAAATGTTATAAAGATTAAAATTACTACAATGAAATCCCTCAGGAGATTTATTTTCATGACAAGGAGGTAATTATAAACATTTAAAAATATATTTGCCTTTAATCTATCTGCATGTATTAGTGTTCTAATACTAGAATATTAGTGTTAAGGTTCTAATACTACACCTCTCTTCTGTAATAAAAGATGGGTTCCTAATATCCCTGGAAATCCAAGTAGTCAAAACTTTTGAAAGACTATGGATAATTTTTGTATTAGCTTTTGGTCCTGTTAATATAATTTCTTACTTTCCAGAAAATTTAATTCAAGTTAAAAGAACTTACCTATGAAAATGCTTGTGAGAAAGAACTAAGGGTCAGGACCCAGTAAGGTGATTTAGTAGCTCAATATTTTTCTATTTAGTACAGGGAAAAAAATCTAAATAATTTACATGTAAATGTATCCTACATCTCTACAAACATGTATTTCTTAGGTGAAAGAGTTTAATTGAAATGACTGAGAACGCAGCCATTCAGTGGCTCTGTTTCCATAAACTAGTTTTTATTTTATACCCAGGATCTTAAGAAAATATACAGACAAACAAATCAACAAATAATGCAGTAGAAACAGGTTTTCCAAGAACACCTTACACTGCCATCCTGTCACGCAAGAAAAACAGCCTTTTGTCTTGCATGCAGCAAGCTCCAACAGAAACCCTGTGACATCCAGAACAAGTGGTGGATCGATCTAGCTGAAAAAACTCAATTATGCGCAGATTCGGGAGATCACAATTTGGAACGTACCAAATTTTAAAATTTTAATTTAATAAATATATATGGTTAGATCACAGAACAACCAATTAATGACACGTAATTAAGCACATAGAATGAATTAATCATAGCATGTTAAGGGGTTGGAAGGGACCTTAAAGACCATCTAGTCCCAACCTACTCTGCTACGGACAGGGACACCTCCCACTAGACCAGGTTGCTCAAGCCTTTATCCAATCTGACCGTGGATAACGTGGATAACATTGTCTGCTATGTATGTATCATATATAAGAGAAAGCTTTTAATTGCTTTTCTATAACTAGACTCCATAATTAGTTCTGAAAATCAATTTAAATAAAAGTAAGCAATTTAAAATGACAAATTTGCTCTCTTCCTAAAAAAAAATCTGAAAAAAAAAGGTTGAAATTAACAATAAAAATGAGAGGTTGTGTGGAAAATTTTTGATAGGATGTTTGATATGAAGCAATTATATAAAATATAACTGTGTAAAGTGTCTTAATTAGAAACAAAACTAGGCTCTTTGTAAGTTGATTTCTATTTACAGTTAACTTGGAAACCTACAAAGCTTTGTGACCAGAAATATAGACTGCTGTTTTTAAAATGTTTTAGAAAAGAATAATAGAAAACTTTCCTCCACGTAATTTCATCAAAACCAAGGTTCACACTCAAAATCATCCCTATTTAGCACAATAATACAATGCTGTGCTATTTATATGCACACCGTTGTCATATGAAAAGGAGGAGAAAAGAAGAACTTTCTGTCCAACCTGTATTAATATATTTTTTTGCCTATCAGTGTACCCTCCAGGACATCATAGCTTTTTGATGTCCAAAACAGTCTATTAGCGTCTCACTAATGAGACCCCTCACTTAACAGATTTGCTGAGATAGACAGGACATTTGATACCTTTTATGTACGGACTGCACTTAATACTAGTAGAAAAACCCCTCAGCAGGTTTCTCCTGTGAGTTATTTCACCATCAACAAAATTGTCAGCACCTAAAAATGGACTCATTCTAACAGTTTACGAAATAACACATTTATTAATACAAATTTGTTACAGTTTATGGGGTTTAATGTGTCTGTAATAGGGTCTAAAAGCAAAAAAAGCACACTTAAACTATGTAGTAATAATAATAATGCAAAGCATAGGCACACACGCTAAAGCAAAAGCAACTTGCAATGAAGTAATAAGTAAAAATTTTAAAGTACTATGAATCAAAAGTAAAATTAGAGTGCATGTATAAAGCAATCTCTCACCCCGCAGCGTCCCAAGAAGGTGGACGGAGAAAAAGTAGCCCATTGGTTACCTACACAGCTTTGATGGAACTTCTCCCCAACTTTTTGCTTATGCCCAGTCTTTTTTTATATTTTTTTCTTTAGGAAGTTTGAGTGGCTATAGTCAATAAACTAATTTTTGGGATGATAGACAGATGAAAGAGGCCCAAGGGTCCACTTCCTACGTTCCTGGCAGCTAGAATGTTTGGAAAAAAGGCTATATTTTCTCCATATCACTCCTTCCTTTGTTTTAATCCTTTTATCAGTTTCTGAGAATGTCTCCTCAGGTGCTGGGTTTTACCATGAAACCATCAGGAGCTTTTTTCTTCCTTTGTGTGGCCTTATCTATCACCTTATAACTGTTGATATTAATGCTTTAGTCTATGCAGAAAAGAGCAACTTTTTTGAAAACATGTGTTATGTATTGTACACTCTTTACACCTGGAGAATCCAGGGACATATAACCCATCCAATAAACATTTTATGTGATTGGCAAATTAGCAAATGTTCAACCACAAGACAGCTATAAAGATGTTTTTAATCTCTAGTAATGGCAGGATGCTAACAGGAGAGCTAAGAATACCAGGAAAAAAATACATAGGAAAAAAAAGGGAAAAAGCCTCATTGATTTGTTGACAGAGGCCTAGCAGCCTCAGTAAAACACAGTTCTCTTGCACTTAATCAGTGTCACCCTCCAAACAAATTGCTCTGCAGCCCAGACAAAAAGCAACCAAGAGGAACACCGTCATAAGAATGAAGCTTGCTAGACGATGTTCAATAAAATGTCTCTTTAAGCTGAGGCACTCCAAGTGTAATCTATGACCCAAGAGCTAATGACAAACTTTTAACACTTCTGAGGAAGGCAACAAATATCAGCCCCTTCTAAAAGCAGATTATGTGATCACATCTTCATCTACAATTTTTAGAAGTCACTATACGGCTCTTTGGTGTGCAGTCTTTTCTTCTTCTGTGATCATTAGCAATTGTGACTTCCATCTCTCAGTGAGCAACTACTTTAAGCGTATTTTATTTAATTACAAGACAGCACAAGAAAATGACTAATTTTGTTACCAGCCTTTTGCAGTGCTTACTGAGAATTTCTGAAGGACTAAAAGAGGCTTTTCTGTTCTTTTTATTGGCGGTCTAAAAATGCAATGTGTTGAGGACTTAAAAAAACCTGTTACAGCATTGTTTCCAAAGGTCTTGCATGGCAGTAGATTGCTTGACAGCCCCCCATGTAACTAGATTAAATTTAGTTTTCTTTTTTATTTTTTTAAAATTGATCAAACAGAGGCTAAAATACATTCTAGAATTATACTGTCAATTTCATTCACATGAGACAGTAACTCAGACAGAGATCTTTATTTTACATCCAGACCTACAGGGGACTGCTCATTATTTGAATCCCTATAGATTACCCCCAGCACACCTAATTCTCTCAGTCAGTGGATACCTTTCTTCGTGATGTTCCACCTGCTTTGACACACTATTAGATCACCCTTGAGAGAATACTTTTCTCTCACACTTGATAGGAATCACCTCTAGAAATTGTGATTTTCTGTCCTCTCTCCATTTCCCTTGTCAATGCCTACATCCTGGGACAGGGATCCCAGTTGCTTGGCTTCACTGCCATCTTGTTTCACATCATGGGATGTGATATGCCAGCATTGGATCTGCCAGATCACCAGAGACTCATTCAGCTGGCAGCTGAAATCTTTTCACATATCTCACAGCTCAATCAGGGATAGGGATCGGGTGAGTATCTCTGGTCCTACCTCCTCCTCCTGTTCAGAAGGCCCTGATTCCTCTTCATCCTTCACTATGTGAACTGATTAGGTCTTGGATTTTTTCTTCTGTAGAGGGAAGACTGCTACTGGCACGCATTGTTCCTCTGGTTCAGCTACAGATTGAGTAACCATGATGCCTGTTGGTCTACTTTCCTTCTCCTCCCCCTGAGGGTGCTGTCTGGTGGCAAGCAGTGTCTGAGAAATAGTAGCCAGGATCCAGCACAGTACAGTAAGTTACTTCTCTCTGGAGTTTCAAAAGCGTTTCTTCTTGTGAATATTCTGTCACTTTATCAGGATCCTGTAGATATTCAGACGTGAACTTCCAAACTGTTAGACCTGAGAATTTCCTCCAAAATGGGCTCATTTTCTCCCACATTCCATGCCACTCATGACTACTTATTTACCCCTGGAGTAGATGTCTGAATGACCTTCCTAGAAATCTTTCTTGACTCTAAGCACAGTGTGCAGCACACGGAGAAGACCTGGCAGACTTAACAATAAGATTGTGCTTTCTGTGACATCCAAAGAGAACTCAAAATTCTCAAAAGCTGTTGCAACAGGCCTGAAGGAGATAAAGGGGGTGAAAGGCTTGGGAAAAGCATCCTCCCCTGTTCCCTCCACAGGCTGGGTAGGAGTATTAATCAATTCCCTGAGGTAGCACCCAAGGCCAAGGCAGGAGAGCAACACTGAATACACATCCCAAATGACTCTCATTGCCCTTGATGTTATCATGTCATAAACTTACATCACACAGTACAGCAACAAAGCAATCCTGATCAACCTTCCTCTGAAGAAGAACATGGTGAGGAGCACATAGGGGAACATATACAGGTACTACATCCACGTGAACAGACTAGGAAACATTGTAACCATATAACTAATACAGAAATGCTTAGATAAAATTTGTTTCTAGCCTGCCCTGGGCAGATCTGTTTTTATCTCAACCCTTCATGCCCCACATAGAATGACAATTAAAGCTGTCCTGATTTAGGAATGGCGCTCCCCAGTTTAGTGCCTCCCCTCCCCAAGATTCCAAAACCACATGCCAC